AGGGGAGTGGCAGCTAGAGGTGAGATGAAATTTCCTAAGGCACCTAAAGTGGCATGAGTCATCAACGTTTAAACAAGTGAATCTCACTCTAGATAAGCATTTTGCTGTTTGGGCATTTGGGTATTGCTCATGTGTTGCTGTTTTACCAGATGCCAACCAAGGCTTGATTTTATGAATTATGCTGAACATGTCCTGTCCTCTCCGACACTTTCTGTGGGATTTAGCTGTCTCCACACCCATTGCAACAGAGATGAGCATGAAACAACTGAGGAACCTCTGCATGGGCATCAAGGGAAACTGATGGCCTGAAATAAAGCCTCTTGTTGAGTTTAGACATTCAACCCCAATGCTAACATAAACTCACATATATACACCAGCATAGTCTTAAAAAAGCATTCAAGTTCAGAAGGCTTCCTATCAAAGTAGGAGTTCTGCAAAATGTAGATGCTTTTTCATATATCTGGTGCAGTCTTCACTTTAATGCAGACTCACTTGAACGTTCATTCCCTCGCTTTAAAGAATTTCCTGCTTAAAAAGAAGTATTTTTTTTGAGCTGTTATTCTTGTGTGGTACAGTCAGAAATGAAAACAAAACAGGATATTAGCCTCTCAAGCTCAGCAAAATTGAACGTATGCTACGTGTTATAGAGGTACTTGCTTTGAGGAAATTGCCAGCAAGTTCCTTTAGCAGGCCACAAGATTCTGCAGATCTGACTCACATTCATACCCTTCGGTCAGCAGCTGCGTACTGCTGAGGATGATGTGCCACAGCAGTGCTGTTCTGAATGGGCTCACGGGTGACTCCGGTGCGTACATAATGCAGCATAACAGCAACAGCTTGCGTGGTGACAAGAGATGATGACTGTGAGCCTTTCTCAGGGATTTGGTAGAACAGAAAGGCAGTCAAATTATCATGTGTACTGGTATTTTTGTAACTCCAGTCTCTATCTAAGGTAATGATAATTAGACAAAAGACTTTCAGTCAGTCACTTGACTGATATGATATGAGTTTAAAACATGACCATCCTTTTCCTCTCACCCTTATTTATTATTATTGCCACCCTTGTAGGAGTTTCCAGCCTAAAAATAGCAGAAGAAGAATTCTCTGCTTCACAGACTGATGTTTTGGTGGGAACTCAGCTGCACCCATGATCTTAGATGGCCACAGTATGGAACGGGGCCCCAGTGCCTCCATACAGGTCTCACCAGATCACAGGGACTTGGGGATCATAACAGAGATCTGGAAATACCACAACAACCTTGCTGCAACAAGGTTTACTAGGAATCATTGGTCATAGTCCTAGTTTATCATTGCGTTCTTTTCACTGTGGCAAAAACAGATTGCTAGAGATGAGCAGACAGCAGGTCCTTCTATGGGTGTGCCAGTCTGTCTATTTACAGAGGTTACTCCTCTCCTCATTAGCAAAACAGCTCATCTATTGAATGCAATTTAATCAACAAATGGGGTTATCCTTGGCAGATTTCTTCAACTGAAGAATGACTCTCCTTTGTAGAGATCAAATTGTACAAACACTTTTATTTGATCAAAAAATTAGACCAATTAAATGCACATTTGCTAAGTAAACCATTTGGATGTAGTTCACTTAAAAAAAAAAAATAAAATAAAATGAATATCCAATGTTAAAGAGAGCAGCAAACCAGTGGGCATGTCACAATGTCAGCTCAGTTTTCTAGAAGAGAATATCCTAATCCACTTACACATAAACAAAAATCCTGCAGCCTTTTTAAGTATTTCCTCCAGATAGACACAAAAATGTGTTTGTTTGATGGGTGCAGAGGAAGGGGGTCCCATCTTCACAATCTGGGCTATCTCACCACTATTTAGAAAGCCTATCACTCTAAAGCCTTTTCAGAATGCATGAAGAGATAGAGAATAACATCTTATTTAGCACACCCACTAAGGATTAGGCTTTTTATGGGTTCTTAGCATCACTATTTATTTCTTCTATCTAGTTATGAGCATGTTACAGAGGTTATTTTGTCAAGCCATTTTCATTTAATAGCTAATTTTGAAACGTTTCTGGTTAGCATTACATTTTAGGTAGCACAATTCCCCTGCTTCACAAGTGAGTTCTTGCAGTCCCTTCTCTGCTCCTTCGTCTTGTCCTTCTCATCCTCTTATGATGTAAATGCAGCTCCTGGTTTATTTTTTTCAACCTCCAATATCAAGATTCATTTCATTTTGCAGGTCCCCAGAAAATCTTACCAGTTGCTGAACCCCTATCTTTACTGGCTCTGGGGTCAAACCTGGTGAGCTTTGAGCCTCCTTTACTAATGTACATATTCACCATGGCCCACTTTATCCTGATCAGCATCCATTTGAACATCCTCCCCTTTGAAAGTAACCACATGCACAGAATGAGGATCCTGTTGCCATTCTTAGCAGCACACATGGCAGCAGGAGGAGCAAGACTAGCACCCCCATTGCCACCATTTACCCCACCAGCCCAGGGCTCATGGCAGCTTACCTTTCGCAGGGGCAGATTAGGAATGCAGTGCGTGTATGTGTGGTTCTTGAGGCAACTCATTTCACAGACTCAGAAATAGAAAGCATATCACTGCAGCTTAATCAAATTAAATATTCAAATGAAAGAAATAATTACTAAAATTTGTCTTGAGACTGGGTGAGATTAAGTCTTTGAAACATCATTTTTGTTCTGCTGGCTATAATGAGTAAACTAGTCTCTAATGATGCAGAAAAGACTGGAGGGTTTGGGTTATCACCAATGGAGAGATATATATCAAATGAGATGAGCAGTGTGGCCATTAAAAAGCCCTTGGACAGTACCTCTGCCTTACAAATGACTTTGATAACAGCATCAACAAGGCACTGACATTAACTTAAAAAAATCCTAGACACACATTTAAATTCACTGCCAGTCTATATGGAAAAGAAATAGTTCAGTGGCAGAGCTGCCTGGTGAAAATTACTACATCAGGTTTCAGCTCTCATTATAATCTGTTAATTAATGTGTTAACACAAGATTCCTGAAGATCAGCAAGACCAGCACTGCCATCAAGTCTAGGCATGCAAAACACATGCCCTGCACAGGTCCAGAAAATACAATAGGAGTACACATCTTCACAGTTAACATTGTATGTCCCCTGTTCATGGTCTTTATGTATACCAGGAGGAAAAGCTGAAATCTTTCATGTGGATTCCTTCACTGTTTTAAATGGGGAAACGGCTCAATTTATGAAAATAAATGAATGGGTCAAGAATCAGATGTAGAAGGTGGTCTTGGCTGTAAGCACGACTGTATTTAAGGTCATAGTTTCATAGAATCATGGACTCATTAAGGTTGGTAAGGATCACTAAGATCATCTAGTCCAGCTGTCATCCCCTTACCGCAGCGTGTTCCTCAGTGGCACAGTTTGAAGCTGCCTAAGTGGATTTTCAGAAAAATAACCAGGAATAGTAACACTTTTCTGCACCCTGAGGAGAGCAGTGACTGAAGCCTGCGAAGGGGCAGGCTGTCAGGAGCTACAAGTAGGCACTGCAGGAGCAACCTTTCATGCCATTTCATGCTTGGCATGCATGCACCCATGAGAGGCCAAATGGGCTGGTGAGGAACCGATCCAGACTTCTGGAAAGGACTGACTAAAACCAAACCCAGCTTTTCCTTGCAACAGCTGCTGTTTTCTTGGTCTTTCTACTGCATTCACTTTCCATGGATCCAGGAATCTGTGAGATACTATTTTTCTGCTAGTTAACTATATGTTTGCGTTTGCATAGCTATCACATGCATATTTTTCAAGTATTAAGTGCAAATAAAAAAATTTAAAAAAATTGCAGGAACTTTTTATACTTCATTGAAAGAAAATATTAATAGTACAGAAGGATATTAAAGTTCAGAAAACAAGGTAAGGCTTCTAGGGCACATTACACATCCCCTGGATCCCCTGGGTGACTTCCAAATCATAGAATGATAGAATGTTTTGGGTTGTAAGGAACGTTAAAGAACATCTGGCTCCAATCCCAACGCCATGGACCAGGATACCTTCCCCTAGCTGGAAGAAACATCTGTCACGTAGATTTTGCCCACTGTTCTTTGCACTGGAGTTACTGAGAGGCTTCTACGAGCCACGCACGCACAGCTATGGAAAGAGTTTCTAACAGCAGCCACAAGGCTTAGTTCATAGTGTCTGGGAATGGGGAGCTGTGTGAATGCTTTCTTGGAAACTGGAGCTCAGTGTGCATAGATGTGGGATGCTCAGTCTCTCCTGCTCCTGCATGAAGATTGCAGGTCCCCTTCCTTCTCAAGTAATGCAGGACTAGAGAGCATTTGCAGAGTAGGAGAGCAGCAGCCACATTCATCCTTCTAGCTTAACAAGGATCTGCACGTTCATTCAAACATCAGATCCCAATCATCTACACTATCTCCCTGCTGGTTGCCTGTCCTCTATCACCCCAGTGATCTCTCTAGAGGTGACTCGTTCTGAACTGTGTGGTTGTGAGCCCAGCTTCACTGCATTTTTGGCTCTCATTTAGTGTCAGCACAGACACTGCTGGTTGCTTGCCTGTGAAAAGGCAGTCACAGGGAACAAGAGTTGTTTACTATCTTCCCAAGGTTGTGTATAACCAAAACCATATTCCCAAGCTTGGATTAGAAGGCTATAGGCATGCCATACTTCAAAGACCACTAACTGCTGTCACTGTGGATTACCCCAACCTGTGACACGATGACCCTGCCTACCCTGCCAGGATCTCTTGGAGTGTTCACTCACATATTGTAAGACTACTCCATCTGATGTCTTAAATATAAATACACGTACATTTATTATATTTTATAATATTCTGCTGGAAAATATTTTCAGGAAACCACCCTGCCTTAGCACTACATCAGAAACACACAATATGAGTACCCTATTCTACAAAACTGGGTTACTCCTCCAAACCTGCATTCAGATATTCATTTGCTTTCATGGACAGTGGACAGAAGAGTATGATGCAACTGAAACACTCTGATGGAAACTTACCCAATTCAAACTGGTTGGAAAGGTTGCCACAGGTTTGTCTGACTTCTTCACTGTCCCATCCAAGAGGATAGAGAGCACAACCAGAGCCAATCAACAGACCTACGGAGGGAAGAGAGAGAAGTTTACACAAGCAATTTCCATTAGCTTAAACACAGGCTAGAAGTCAAGCTGCCACTGAGGAATCTCTGATTCAAAAAGCAGCAATTTTTATCCTGAAAACAGTAGGAAATCATTTGATCTTGTATTGCTGCATTCTGGTTTTCCAGCTGCTTAGTGTGCTGGAGGTAGCTGGGGTGGCTCAGCACCAGATGCCAGCCTCAGCTTCTGGAGCTGCTACCCAGGAGCTTTTAAACTCCCCTTTGACTCTGCTGAACTGCTACATGCACTGCTTGGAAAGCTCAACACAGGGTTAAACAAAAGCTGTGTTAATCACAGCATTTACAAGCTGATTGCTTCTGATTAATTAAAACAACAATCAACCAGGGTCTATCATGGTTCCAGCAGGAGAAAGTAAACTGACAGTTGTGCTAATCCCTTGTCATTTTCTTTTGTTTTTCACCGCTTCAAAAGCCAAGGAAGAGTGATTTCATGTCACCTGATCAATTCATACCACAGGTACATGCTGTACATTTTCCTTGTATTATTTCAGCAAAAACAACAGAGCTCTTGAGCCATTCTATCTCTAATTGTGTTTGGCTTAACATTCACAGCACACTTTCTTTCTCCAGTCCTCACACTGTCCAAAACAGATGCTTGAGCTAAGCAAGCCCTTTCGCAAGATCTTGCTGGGAATCATCCAATGGGCCATGATTATTTTGTAGAAGTGGCATTTTTATCATATTGCATTCTCAGCTGTCATGACAGCAGCTGCCCAAGAGCAGGTGTAGCTGTCAAAGATCTGTTTGTTTGTTTTTTTTTTAACAAGGACAGCCAAGAGAGAATAACTATATGTGTGCTAAATCATTTAATTCTACCACCTTTGTCTCAGATCTTCTGTATAAGACTGGAAACAAATCACTACATAAATAACAGACTGGGTGCTATTTGAAGGATGAAAAGGCAGACAAGACCACAGAAAGTTGGCAGCGTGGATTTTCAGCAGTACCTTTTACCTGTTAAGTAGACTGGGACAGGGTTTCAACTCCTACAGCCATTGCTGGCAAGCTTTGGGCATGTCCCTTGGCCTCCTACCACCTCACTTTTCTTTTCCTGACAATAAGAATAAAGGCAACGTGGTTGCTGGCAAAGTGCCTCTGTTATTATGCTCCTACTGCAGCAAAGCCCTGGGTGTGATGGCAGAGGCCCTATGGATGTCACACCTGTCTGCTAAGAGTCCAGAGAGTGATTCTGACTCAGAGCCTGGGCTTAGCTGTGCATTTCTACAGCCTCTATCCTCACGATACCTCAATTTTTTATACTGCTGACACTCCTGTAAGATACAAAAATCACTTCTTTATATTCTTGACTTGCTTGAAGATGCAAAGAAGCTTTATCCCACCCTTCTCCACATGTTTTGATGCTCTTAGCACCTTAGCTGTAACCAAAGGAACAGCAGCCCCTCCAAGCACACCTGTTACTGTTCAGGGCCCAGTGTTCACTCCTCCTTAGATCTTCTTGCTACTCTAGTTTACTTCTTTCCCTTATTCAACAGACACTGCCTGTTCCTCTCTCCATCCCTACACAGCGTAACAGAAAATAAATCATTGAGGCAACCCCTCTCAAGTGCAACATTCACTCAGCAGCTGTGAAGGTAGAGCAGCAATTGAGGCCACATGAATGCTAGACCTTTCAGGACTTTGCTTGGCCTAGATGTGGTTGCTTCTAATCTTCTCACTACCAGCTCCCACAGTATCATCTGATTTTTTCCCCAGGGCTGCAGAGCTGACAGAAGCTGGTAGAATCCATGTAAATGAGAGTGCCTTCTCATTAAGTTCTCTGGAAGGATGTTTCTCACACAAGAGAACTTAGGCCTCTTATTAACAAATATAGACTCAAAACTGTTAAAGACAGCTTAAGATTTTTGCAGAAATACATAACTGATTCTCATGTGCACTTCTAGAGCAAGAAGGTCACTGCGAAGCAATTACAGCATAGCTGATGTGCTAGGAGTGGGCAGGACCTACAGGGCAAGAAGGAACTTCACTACTGATGATAAGGAAGTCTGGGGAAGACAGAATGAGCCCCTGAACATGAAAGGCAGTTGATGGACAGTGTTATCCTCATGTTGGCTGTGACACAGAATCATGGAATTACAGAATCATTAAGGTTGGAAAGGACCACTATGATCACTAAGTCCAACATGTGATCCAACTGTGTGATCCACAAGTCCAACATGTGCTGCATCTGCATGGCTCTTGAACACCTGCAGGGGCAGTAACATCCCACAGGCTGCCTGGTAATATCCAAGCAGACCAGCTCAGAAAGGTGCACGACTCTGTGTATACAATGGTGCGGATCTGTCCCGTTGTTTTCAGTAGCATTCTGCATGACTGCAACAAAGCTGGTACCACTACAGTCTCAATAGGCAGTGAATCTGGGAACTGGCATTTCAATTCCCTTATTTTATGTAATACAAGTGTGAAATACGCCAAAAGCCCGTAACGTTAATAAGACTTGGATAAGCGCACTTTAGTTCCTTCCTCCCCTTCCAGTCAATCCACTCATGTTTGTAAGCAACTAAACGTGTGGATCAGACCTTGGGAAAGCAAAAAGACTGCATGCTATTATCTCTAATAATCCATACATGTGCTCACAGCCAATTTGTTTAATCAGAGACGGTAGTTTCTGTGGAACAGCTGCAACCTCTATTTAAATGTCTAAGTTAAACACAAGGGCCACAAAGCCAGCGGAAATCATTAAGCTAATTATGCTGCTTCAGTAGAGAGAGGTGACCAGTTTAGTTCACCAGTCACACCCTGTCCTGCCCCATGTTAATGAATTTGGGCAGTTATGCTACTCAGGACACCACACCCATCTCTACAGCTGCTTAAAATGCTTAGGATGCCTAGAGCATTCCTTAAGAAAGGGGAGGAAAAGAGCCACTGTGCTGTAATTACCATCATCTGTCATCTTTCATTATCCACTGCAGTCGTATAAAGTAAGACAAAGGGGAGGGAAATAAGCAGGTCCCTAAATGGCAGCTTTACCAATGGGGCTGCAGCTCAGAAGTACCTGTTGGATGGGGCTGGGTGGCAGTGGAGGTGCTGGTGGCACTTGGCTGCTGTTTGGTGCGCTGTATCATGTGCCCTCTCTCTCTTTTTTTTTTAATATATATTTTTTTACATTCAGGAACAAAAAGAGCTGCTTAACACTGTGCAGAGCCTGAGGATCTGTGATGCACTGCTGTTGCAAGCATCGTGACTTAAACACAGCCAATTGCAGTAATGCAAAGCTGGTATTAAGTGCTTGGCTCCAAGACTTAGCCCATTTTTGTTCTTTGTATAGCACATGAAGGGAGCTGGATGTCTTCAGAAAGAGAGCTAAAACCAGCCTATATGCAAAATGAGGAGCTGTTCAGACTCTCACAACACAGAACATTGGAGCTTATAAAAACACTGTGTGAATGCTCTGCCCTATGGCCACTGCTGTGACTTTACCTTCGGCTGTGAGAGCCCTCCTGGCTGACCACACTGACCTTAAATGAGCGGAGTCCCCAAGTCCTATGAGCTGTGAAACTACAAACCAGGGGAGTGGATGGTTCAATAGCAAACTACCCAGAGTGATCCTCGTCCTTCCCAGATTGCCCCACCTGTCACTCTTGCTGAAGGAATAGTGCATGATCATACTTTAGTAATGCTTAGCATCTAGAAGACAATCTTGTTTGTCTGAAGGTATGATTGAAAATAATTGCCTGTGGCAATTATGCATATGGATGATGATGCTGAGCAGGGGGTGGTGGGAAGGGGACAGTAATTACATTAGTGGCTTGGCACAGATCAAGGCTTCATCTCTGAAGTGATAAAGACATGATTTGTGGCATGTAGCAATCAGCTTGTTCCAAGAGGTAAAATATCAACCACTATTAATAACATCAGGAACAGCAATTCTCAAACAGTAAGTACAGAAGGATTAATAAAACAGGAGACGTTAACCAGATTTGCCTACATCACTGCACTCAGAAAGGCCAACAAAGATGGGGAGAAGCTAATGCACAAGAGCTGAAGGTTGCAAATCCCTGTGGCTGGCAGTCCTCAGCCTGCTACTGTGGGAGCCTCACTTGAAGTGATGTGCCTCCATAACTTTTGTAGGCATCACACAATAAATGAATTGTCTGTAACTCTTCTAGCAGTCCATAGCTTACAAATCCTGCTTTACAGGCTCAGTTCTTTCCCTTGCTTCTTGAAGGCACAGCATGCACAGTTCTTACTTGCCCCATTTCTGTTCTGTCACCAGCCCATTTGCTCACTGCACCCCCAAAAGTCCATTAAATAAAGCTAAACCTTCCTTAGAGTCCTCTCTTCTCCCTTGGAATTCAGATAAATCTGAAGGGAGGAAAACCCATCAGTTTGATCAATACAAAGAGGTTGTGATGGCAGTAAATGGGGCACTTAGCTTCAGACTTAGCCTCTGAGTCTTGTGGCTAGAAAATGCGTTTTCAAATGGGAACAGAACCCATGATGATTTTCCTTGATTATGGCCTTTTTAAGAGCCTGCAGTGCTTTCTAGATGGGCACTGAAATTGTTTTCCTCTTTGTACTTCCCAGTTACAGTTATCCCCTACCAGCCAGACTGCCTGCACCATGGCCAGCAGCAGGGGACTGCCTGACTGTGATCTCCTGGGATGCCCCGCCTCCAGGAAGGAACCCAGAAACACTGTGGAAACCCATCTACAAACATAAAAGCATGATTCATGCACAGCTGAGAGAAAACGAAAGCAAAACCTTTTGTGCCTTTTGAGCAGCCCCTTTCTAGTGGGAAAATTTATCTTAAAAATATGTTTGTCCTTCCTTTCCTCTTCTACTTTTTCTCCTTTCATTTTTGGATCTGACCAAAAAGAAACTTTTTTATTTTCCTAGGCATCTCTAATGAGTACTGCTCAGATCTGACAGATATTCAGGCCATCTGGACATGCTGACAGACAATAATTTGGAAGTCATCCC